CTGGTACATCAACCCTGTGTGGACCTGCAGGAACTAGAGACACCTCAAGTCACACCTTTACTGCTCACTTCATTTTAACATTTGATTAATTCCACCTCCTAAATAACTTTAGAACATGTATTCCTTCCTCTGTCATATAGCGTTCATCTGGTTTCCATGCCTACCCTGCTGCCATGGCAATTACACAAAGGCTTCTGTAATGTAGACCTTCTCTTGGCTTCCAGTATTCTGGGTATTTCTCATTCCTTCACTAACCACTATTTACGCACCTCACATAGAACCTGTGGCAGGTTCTTTCTTCATCTGAGGCTTGATGAGAATCTCTCTAGCAGCCTTGATAAACAGCTCACTTGCCAAGATAAAAATAAAACATTGGTTATTCTATGAAGCTTCCTCTGCCTTCTCACACTATCCTTATTTCCCATAAAATGATAGTGAGAAAGAATGGATTGAAGAAAACAATGATTCAGAAAGGCAAAATGAAGTGTGACTACTAGAATAAGAAAAGGAAAGAGGTGTAAAAAAGTACCATTCTATTTGCTGTCTTAGAATCATAACATTTTAGAGCTGAAAGGATTGTTACAGTCTATCCAGTCCAAAGTTTTCTGTGGTTTCCACATAAAAAGTAAAAGCTCTTGCCTTAGGATAAAGTGTGGGAAATTTGTATCTAGTTGTGTAATACTGACTGAATAATTTGAGTGATCTTTATACAGAATTCAAGAAAGCAGTCACTACACTAACCAAATGTACAATTCTAAAATCACACTGAGTATTGTAGTTTGAATGTCCATTATTTTCCACAGAACAGCACTAATCTTCCCCAAATGATAAAGTTTGTGATGTGTACATGTCTGAATTAGAAATATTTTTAATTAAGGGGGGAAATGAATTTTCATAACCAGTTAGGAGAAAATGTTTCTCTGGCTTTTGCAATCATCTTTTCCCCCAAATGTCTTTGCCTAAAAAGGAAAATGGGGGAGGAAAAAATCCCCTAGCTAAAAGAATAAATTGTAGTAAAATGTATGAGATAAGTGTGCTTTTTCGTCAATAAAATATTTAGAGAAAGCAGAAATTGAACGAGCTCTGCTGTTACACCTCTTAAGTTCAGTTAAAGCCGTGGCCAACTGTGGGAGACATAAAGAACTCCAGCGTATAAAGTCTCAAGCTTCCCAAAATCAAATTTTTAATGAAATTTGTTTTAAGGTATGCTATGTCTTAAGACTGTAATCATACTTATTTTCATAAGAGATTGATTTTAAATCAAATTACAGTTAAAAACTTTTAGAGTATGTAAAATGACAATTGTTTCCTTTTAGTAGCCAGATTTTAGAGATGGGGGTAGACTGGATGTGGATCAAACGGATTTGTCTTCCTGGAACTCATGCTCACTTAGTGCCCTGAGCTTAGAACGAGTTTTCTTGCAAAATAAGATCTATTTTTCAAAAGGTGATTCTTACATATACACTTCTTTTTAACAGGTTGTTACCTACACCTCTGAATCCTTGAAATGTCCAGTTAGATTCTAAAACTATGTGTTCTCTTTGTACCTCTTTATTTTTAGGACATTTTCTCATTTAAAATATGTATACATTTTACATAAGTTACCAATTCTGAGTTCCTGGCATGAAAAATGACCCCGTTAACTTGGAAAGCAGTTTTTACTTACAAGTCCCCCAGGTCCTGTAACATCTAAACCTCCTTTGCCACTTTATAAGATCACCCCACCCCACAGTGGAGCAAGTACAGGAAAAGCAGACTTCCCTTCCCCCACATATTTCCTCAGTTTATTTACAAAACGTCTTGGAATGAGAATGAGCTGCTTGTGGTTCCTGTGGCTGATTCAGGGATGGTTTCCTCCAAGCAGAGAATACTGGTCAACTGAGTGACCTCTCTCTTGCTAACCCTTGCACCCCTGTGGTAAGGCTGTTTGGTTTAGGGTACCATTTTTAACTGATCCTAGATGGATTTGTTTTTGCAGTGAAGAGCTTAGTAATAGCTAAATATCACTGTGTAGACAGATTTAATAATGACAAGGCCTGTGAGAGGCTATCACTTTCACTACTGACAAAACAAGTCAGAAACACTCTAGGATGTTTTCCGATCCCTTTGCGCCTCGAAAGGTCATGATGATTGCCTTCTGGATTCCTGAAAGAAAACTATTACTATTATACATATGTAATAGTGAGTGCATTAGAGGAAGAAATCATCCCAAACACTACTTGCATGAGAGATGCACCTTATCTAGTGATCCGGCTCACTCATAGAAAATGCCTGATGTAAGATGAAGCTTTATTATCTTTGCCTCTGAGGAGGCATTCTGGCTGTACCGTCTCCAAAACATATCTGTTTATTCTTTGGCTGTCCATAGGATGTTCAGTACTCTTCTACAACATCACAGTTTAAAGGCATCAATATTCATTGTCCAGCTCTCAACAGCATAGCAAGTGACTGAAAAGATTATGGTCTGAATAAGTGCACCTTAATCCTTAAACTGATATCATTGCTCCTCAATAATTTGAAGAGGTCCCTGGCTGCAGACTTTCCCAGTGCAATACAACCTCCTGATCTCCTGACTGCTGGTACCAAATGCATTGAATGGGAATCCAAATTAAGATTAAATTGTTGACAGTACAGTCTTTTCTCCACCTATCATGATGTTACCTATTGCTCTAGTGGTAAGAATTTTTGTTTTCCTAATATTGTGGTACAATCTATAGTGACGGCTGTATTTTGTGATCTGCAATGAATGGTCACGTCCTCCTCACTTTAAGCAAGCAAGGTTGTGTCATCGACATAACGCAGGTTATTGATGAGTCTTCCTTTCATCTTGATACCACATTCTTCTTCTTCACAGATTCCAGCTTCTTGGGTCATTTGCTCAGCACATAGATTGAATAGGTACAGAGAGAGAGAATACAACCCCGATGCACTCCCTTCTTAATTGTAAACCATGTATTGTTTCCTTGCTCTGTTCATACAACAGCTTCTTGGTCCAGGTATAGGTTTTGCATAAGCGCAGTTAAGCATTCTGAAATTCCCATTCTTCTCAATGAAGCCATAACTTGTTATGATCCATGGAGTCAAATGTTTTTCATAGTTAATAAAGCATAAATAGATATACTTTGGTATTCTTCACTTTCAGCAAAGATCCATCTGATATCAGCAATAATATTGCTTGTACATGGCCTCTTCTAAATTCTGCTTGAAATCTACAATTCCCTATCTATATTCTAGCCATTTTTTTATGTTATTTTATTTTACTAATTGTAATGAATATTTACAGAGATTTTGGATTTCCATTCATTCATTGTTGCACTTTTTTTCTCTACTCCCCCCACCCCAGTTCGCTCCTCTCTTTGAAAAGCAAAAGATAAACTTCTTCGTTGGTATACAATCCCCCGGGCCCCGCCCTGAATGCACTCCACTATGCAACCTTAATTCTGGATTCCTGTGATAATAATAATACCCTATCATATATCGCTTTTAAACTGTTCTCTCCCTCATCGTTTTCAATTCAGTATACATAATCTACCCAATTTTTCTCAGTCTTACCCCAACCCTGATGTCCAGTCCCATTCTACAACAGTGGCACTATGCAGTATTTGTCTTTTAGTGGCTGAGATATTTGACTCAGCATAATGTCCTCCAGGGTCACCATTTTGAATAATACTGCATGAGTTCTTTGTTTTTCAATGCAGCGTAGTATTTCATTGTGTGAATATACCACAGTTTCTCTATCCATTTGTTTGTTGATGCCACTTCTCCAATTCCAACTCCTTGCTATAGTGAACCAAAGCCATGATGAACATGTTCTAGCCATTTTTGAATGATCTTAGGCAATATTTTCCTTGCATAAGATATTAATATTGTTGGATAGCTTCCACATTCTGTTGGATCACCTCTCTTGGGAATGGAAACAAATATGAATCTCTTCCAATCAGTTAGCCAGACAACTGGCCTATAAATTTCTTGGCATAGACTGGTGAGCCTTTTCAGCGCTACACCTGTTAACTGAAAGAAGTCGCTTCCTGGGGCCTTTTTTTTTTCTTTTTTCTTTGTGCCAATGCCTTCAGTGCTGCTTCAACTTCCTCCTTCATTACCATTGGTTCCTACTCTTATGGTACTGCCTGAAGCTTTGCAGTGCCAGTAAGTTTTGTTGGTGCAGTGACTGTGTACTTCCTTCATCTTCTTTTGATGCTTCCTGCTTAGCACCTTTCAATATTGTTTGTTTGTTTGTTTGTTTGTTTTACCTTTCAATATTGTGACTCAAGGCTTAAATTTGTTTTTCAGTTCTTTCAGCTTGAGAAATACAAAGTGAGTTTTTCCCTTTTTATTCTCCAATTCCAGCTCTATACGCACTGCCTTATAATATTTTGCTTTGTCTTCTTGAGTTGCCCTTTTGAAATTTTCTGTTTGGTTCTTTTACTTCAGCATGTTTTCCCTTTGTTTGACTTCTTTAGTGCAATTTTCAGAGTTTCTTCTGACATGTACTTCAGCTTTTCTTTCTACTCTGTATTTGTAATGACCTTTTGCTCTCTTCAAAGATGATATCCTTGATGTCATTCCATAACTCATCTAGTCTTCAATCATCGGGGTTCAGTGCTTCAAACCTATTCGTAAGATGATTCTAAAATTCAGGAGGAATAGAGTCAAGATCATATATTGGTCATACATTTATCAACATTGATAGAGTATCCAGAGGCATGGTGTTTAGGAAGTGGCTGCCACTTCTGCTACATGTATGTATATGTATGTGTGATAGTCTTAGGAAGTTCTTTTTTGCTGAATGTTCAAATTGCAAAAACTTTTAAATTCAATGCAATATGTGTATTAAAGAGAAATGCTAGATTATTGAATAAAAAGGAGAAGCAGGTCTCACCTCATTCACTTATTACAACCAAGCTGAAAGCTAACGAAAAGGAACATTCAGCCCAAGAATGCTAGCTTATGTATGTATCAATAATTTCACTTTGTGTTTTTTTTTACATTTGTCTTTCCAGTGCATCCTAATGTCAGTCAAGGCTGCCAAGGAGGCTGTGCAACTTGTTCAGATTACAATGGATGTTTGTCATGTAAACCCAGACTATTTTTTGTTCTGGAGAGAATTGGCATGAAGCAGATTGGAGTGTGTCTCTCTTCATGCCCAAGTGGATATTATGGAACTCGATATCCAGATATAAATAAGTGTACAAGTAAGTGCTTACACAAAATTACGCTTTTATCTCATCCTTGGGAACTTTTCCAGGTTGGAATAGCCTCTAACAGATTTGTGATAGTCACTGTTAAATAAATAATAATGCTGAGCTAATAATCTGTTAAACAATCCTTAGAAAGCCCTCAGGAAAAGAACATTTGTGCCGCTTACCAAAACCACCTATGACTATGTTTTGTTTGTTTTCATTGTAAAAGAAAAAGTTGAGAACATCATTATTACTCACTGAACCTACAGAAAAGTACTGCGGACATTAATTCATTCTATCAGCACCTCACAGCAAAAAGTTCTCATTCCTGTTGAAACAGTCCAAATATTTCAAGATTTGAAGAATAACTTCTGCTATTTTGGCTTCAACAGGGACTTAAACTGAGCAAATGAAATACTTATTTATCTACTTGTTTCTCCTTAATTCAAGTCCTCAATTCAAATGTGTGACTTTTTTTCCTTAGGTTGGTAATATGTGATCAGAGATGACTATGGATAAAAGGACTCATTTTTTTTAGACAATCTCTTATTCTCAGAGTAAAAAAACATCACTCTTCAGTTCATTGTCCCAAGAACAAGAGTTCCTTGTTTGTCTTACTAATTACTATCACTTACAAGAAGAATGGATGTGCTATTTAACTGCTCTATTAGAAATATAAGTGATAAATTATTATCTTTACACTTCTGAAAAGTCTGAATTTCTAATCTTAAAAAAAGTATCACCTATAAACTTTACAAAAAATCTGGTTTTCTATATTATGATTTCTTTTGGTTGACCTTAAACTGAGAGCCCATACTTTAGGATTTGCATCTTTTTTGGTGCAATTTTAATTTTCTTTAGGTGAATGGCTTCAGGAGCATTTTTGCAAATAAAAGCAGTCAGCATTCTGGTGCTTAAATGTCTTCTTTGGAAGAAATAATGCTAAAATATAAAAGAGAAAGTTAATATTTAAATTATTATGATTATCATAAATAAGAAATAAGTTTTGTTCTTAATAGTTGCATTCAGAATTCAAAGTAATTGAATCAAGTAAAATCTTTTTACTTGAGTTTTCTAATTTAATTTCTCCTATGACAATTTATTTCATAAAATAAAGTTTATGGAATGATAGCATTCCTTTTTTATTTTATTTTAATGAAAGTTTACAGAGACTTTGAATTTTCATTGGAATTATAGCATTTCTTATTGAGTAGTTCCAATTCTTCTTTGGGGAAAAGGTACAATGTAGAGATAGTCTAGCATTCAGTTATTTTTCCCTATATTCACTACCAATTTACCGAGAAGGGGTTGTGTTACAAATTTAAACTTTAGTGTTTTATATGTAATATAATGTTATGTTTGCCTACAACAACCATGCTAAAACAAATTGGAATAAGGACAATGAAACAAGATAGAAAAACAAAGCATTTTATGTAGGGTCGCACAACTTGATAGAGGGGGGTGGGTGTGAAGCAAATAAGAAAGATCTGATGTGAAAACAATATATACAAACTTTGTAAATAAACTAGAATTTAAAAATAACAAAAAAATACCTTTTAATTTTATTTTACTTATCCTGTTTCTAAAAAAAAATGCTTCATTTTGATTTGACTTTTTGTCTTAACAGAAGATAAAATACAACTTTCCTTATTTAGCACTAAAGAATCGAATCACTAGCGAAATAAGATACTTTAAACATATGTTATTTTCACTGTACCATTTAATTATTTTTATGAATATTTTATGAATAAAACATGATGGTTGAAAGCTAGATTCCAGGTTGTTTAGTTATGTAAAAGGCTTCAGGTTTCCTTACAGGTGTTTTTAGATCAGATTATCCACTCCATTGTTTTCTCTATCTCCATTAATTACACTAATTCAAGTGACAGACCTAGATAAAACTTGTCTGTGTTACTGAGTATTGAGGGTGGAACAGCTGAGGACTCAGATGCTAACCAGAGACTGCTGTAGGATCAACCCTACCAGAGACTCCACCGGAGAGGGAGATACACAGTCGGCTTCCTGACAGTCCAGGAAGGAAGCCTTACGGGGTTTTTCTACTCTGTCCTGTTGACATACTATGAGTTGTGATCCATTCATTGGCACGCAACAAATCTATCTTGATTATCTAATGCTGGCAGGTGTTTCATAGAAATGTCTCAAGTACATGGTTTTAACAAATAAGAAATTTATTTTCTAACCGTTTAGGAGGCCAGAAGGGATGGGTCAGCCATTGGGCTACTAATGGAAAGAGGGGCAGTTTGAACCCACCAACTTCTCTGCTCCTCAACAGAAAAATAAGACAATCTGTCATCTGATGGCCATAAGATATAAAGCCTCTGAAAACAAATGGGGCAGTTCTGCTGTGTCCTGTAGGGCCACTGTGAGTTAGAATCAGTGTTATAGCAATGAATTCAGGGTTTTGGCTTGTTTGTTTTTTTCTTTTAAGAAGGCTAAATTTCTGAATTCAGAGGCCTGGTTCTAGAGGAAGCCTTCTTTTTTCTGTTGGTTATGACAGAAGGTCCTTGTCTCTTCCAGGTCTGCTTACTGGTTCCAAAAGGTCTCCACGTCCCTTGGCATCTCTCTTAACTCTATCTCCACTCACTTGCTTGATCTCTATTTATATCTCAGAAAGATTGCCCAAGAGAACACCCTGCCCTGCATCATCTTACCACATTAATACAACAAAGACAACCCATTCTCAAACAAGATTATAACCCCAGCCAGGCCTTGGGGGGAAAAACAGAAAACCCAAATCATCTGTTCCCATTGAGTTTTTCCTGGTTCATAAGGACCCTGTAGGACAGACAGGAACTACCTCATAGGGTTTCCAAATTTGTGAAGCTTTGCAGAACTAAACGACCACATCTTTTCCCAACTAATTGAGTTTAGACCACTCTTTTTGGTTAGCAGTTGAGCACTCAACCATTGTGCTGACAGGGGTCCTTTCACCACAGGTATATTGCTGTTGTTGTTGCTATTAGGCCCCTCTGAGAAGTCTACAACTCATAGTAACCCTGTGACCAACCAGTGTGAACCTTGCTCTGTCCTGCACCATCCTCTCTATCCCCACCATGCATGAGCTCATTGTTACATCACTGTCAATCTGTCTCATTAAGGATCATACTCTCTCTCGCTGACCCTCTGCCTTTCCCAACATGGCATCTTTTTTCAAGGACTGCTCCCTCCTGATAACGTGCCCGAAGTCTGTGAAATGAAGTTTCACCATCCTTGCCTCTAATGAGTACCTTTGTTGTATTTCTTCCAAGACAAATTGGTTCTTCTGGCTATCCAAGGTATATTCTCCAACACCACAATTGAAAGGCATCAGTCCTTCTTTGATCCCTTCTTACTCATCATCCCATATTTCAGGTGTATACAAAACAACTGGCAATGCCATGGCTTGGACCAGTTGCACCTTTGTAAACTGATACCCTTCCTCTATACCACCAGTATAGAGATTAGAATTGACATCATTTAATTTAATTTAGGGGGACATAAATCAATCTATACATTTCCCTTTTGTTGTCTCACATCCCATATTCAGTCAGTTTTGTTGCTTGACAACTAGTCTTAAACAATCCACTTCCAAAGGAGTTTAAGCACCACCATATCATCTCTCACTTGCTGTTATGTGCCGTCGAGTTGCTTGCCACTCATAGCGACCCTATGTACAATAGCCCTAAACTCCGCTCTGTCCTGTGCCAATCGCACTGTCTCTGACACTCCCATCCCAGTTATCCCTGTCACTGAATCAATCCACCTCATATAGGGCCTTCCTCTCCTGCGCTGTCCCTCCACCCTCCCAAGCATGATGTCCTTCTCTAAGGACTGGTCTCTCCTCACAACATGTCCAAAGTAAGTTAGACGAAGCCTCAGAATCCTTGCCTCCAAGGAGCCACTCAGTTTAACCCTTTCCAGGATGAATCTGCTTGTTTTCCTAGCAGTCCATGGTATTCTCAATACTCTTCTCCAGCACCACAGGTCAAAGGCATCAATTCTCCTTCTATCCTCCTTGGTCATTGTCCAACTCTCTGATGCACTTAGGTTTGGAAAATTTCTTTTCCTCTCTGAATCCACTTTTGCAGTCATAAGTTAAAACATCATGCTTCTATTCAGATATCATATGTAACTCTGCCTACTTCTCCAAACTCATGTTTTGCAATCTATCATCACCTATTTTACAACAGAAACACTAGTTCTAGAGTATTTTCCATCTCATAAAACTTAGACTCCTCACAATTACTGTTTTGCACTTAACTATTTCACACCAGCTGTTTCAAAAGTTTTCCCTCCACATCTCTGCTTGACTAAGTCTTTTATTCCATTTAAGATTTGCTCACATGAATCTCCTCAGTAAGGCATTTCCTTACCAATAAGATATTGAAAATAATCAACCGCTTCACTTTTATAGTCGTTCTCCAGCTCTCTTTCTTACTTACACTGCTCTCCTCTTCCCAGATCACTTATTATCCTGAGTTAGATTTTTCTGGTTTCTAGGCCAGACAAGTCTATGATCTTGGGTTAATTTTAATAATTTTTATGAGCCTGTTTCCTTACCTATAAAATGAAAATAATATTAATAAAGACTACCTCATTTGCTTTTTATTTGATTATTTTAAGGTTTAAGTGCCTTATTATATAGTAAAAACACTTGTAGCAGTGATTAACTTATAGTAAGCAATGTTTAAGAATCAACTATAGTTAACTTTATTGTGTCTCTCTTCCTAAAATATATGTTTTGCACAATATGACTTTTATCTTTCTTTTGCACTATTGTGAATCCAATGCCTCAAATAACACCTAGCCTACAATGGGCAATTAAAATTTTTAAATAAATAGACAGATCTTTATAATTTTAAAATGGCAATATCCCAGTATGTTTTATTAAAATGACTAAACATTTTCATTATATATTAATGTAAATAAATAATTGATCCCATCAACCTTCTTAACAGCAGTCTTATTGCTTTGCATAAGCAAATCAATTCAGTGCTTTGCAACCATTGACTGGCATATATCAACTGAATGACGACTGTACAGGAATCCCTAATCAATTTGGCAAATAATTTTGAACCCAAGAATTTGACATGTAAGGTGTGTATGACTGTGTTGGAAGTCACAGAACTAAGCCACAGTTAAATAAAGATAATGGAATCATGATTATTTTTTCTTCTTTTTTTTCCTCTTAGAATGCAAAGCAGACTGTGATACCTGCTTCAACAAAAATTTCTGCACAAAGTGTAAAAGTGGTTTTTACTTACACCTTGGAAAGTGCCTTGACAATTGCCCAGAAGGGTTGGAAGCCAACAACCACACCATGGAGTGCGTCAGTATTGGTGAGGAGGACTTCTGAGATTTACGATTAAGAAATAGCTCAGATGATCAGTCAGTCTCTGTGGAGATGCCTCCCTTCAACCCTATTTCAGGAGAACTGAAAGACCTCTTCTAAGAGGGCTCCTCCATCTTCCTTTAAAAAGAAATCACTTGCATGGTATTCCAGTCCCTTAACCAGTGTGTATCTTAGTGAAATTTTATATCCAGGGAATGATTTCAAAGGAACTACTGATGATTGTGAAGGGACTCAGGTGGCACATTGGACTATATTGAACTGCTAGCCAGTGGTCTGAGCTCATCAGCTGATTCTCAGTGGAAAGACAAAGTGATTTGCACCTGTAAAGATTTCTAGCTTTTGTTCCATCTAGTTGGGGTACTATGAGTTGGAATGGGCAGTAAATTAGGACACTGATCATTGTTTTAGTTGTAATCACTATGTTGTTATGTTGCTGGTTTTGTGCACCATTGGGTCAGAATCAACCCCTAGCTCATCCTTTGGGAGGTTTTCTAAGGCAGTTAATCACATAGGAGGAGATTTCCCATCTTTCTCCTAAGGAGCAGCTGGTGGATTTGAACTATGTGCCTTTTGGATTGCAGTGCAGCGTCTTACCACTAGGGTCACTAGAGCTGTCTTATATCCTTACAGAGTTTAGATATTTTAAATTGGATTCGAGTAAAAGTTTGCAAAGAAAATAACACGTCCTGTCAACCATAAATGTGCCTTTTGCTTTAGAATGTTAATTATTATAATCACTATGTTACCACATTCTTACCACTTCCACTTTTATGCTTCTCATTTGTGTTCATTCTTCCAGACTACCTTTTCCGACCTGCTCAGCTTTAACAGTGGGCAAATGCTGATCTTTTGGTCTTAATGTTGTCAGTTATTCTAAGGAGCAAGGTCTTTCCTGGTGTTGTTTTTCACTTTATGCATCTGCCTATTGTTTAGCTGAAAATTAAGGAGTGAGTTTTATTCCGTGTTCAAAGAGTAGTCTGGGAGTTACACCAGTCTCTGTTGGACCAGTAAGTCTGGACTTTTTCATATTTTTTAGTTTTGTTTCATACTTTTCTCCACTCTTTCCAGGAACTTCTACTGTGATCTTTTTCCTATTACAGGTTTATTATTTCATGAAGCTTTACTTTTATTTAATTAATTAATTTCCTCTTATACTGTTATTGGAAGCAAGAGTGGCATCCACTTCCTAAACAACATACCTCTGGAAACTAGATGAACTTTGAAAAATGTCAGTAGTTATAGAAAGGCTTCAGGCCTTTTGTTCATAGGGTCGCTATGAGTCTTTCTTGACTTGATGACGATCAACAACAACAACATATTTATATGTATATCTTGATCTTCAGCTAAATCTTCATCTTAGGGTAAGACTATCAGCACAAAAACTGAGGTTCATCTTAACCAGTGATCTTAGTTTTTACAAGATGTGGCAGAAGAGAAGAAAGCCTGTGACACACCCATTAGTGCTCTGTAGATGGATCAAAGATGTGGAGAACAAGTTGATATAGTTAAAATCTTACTCCCCCCACCCCTTTCTCAATGACTTGCCAAAATATTCTTGTTGCACAGGTATACAGGAAAAAGAAAATAATTGAGATTTACTCAAACCAACAGAATAAGGCAGTTTCAAGGTCTGATTAATTGCAGGCTAGGCTTCTTGGAGGGGAGATTCCTCAGACAAGTCGTTTGTCTAAATAAGGGATCACTGTCAGAGTACATTTTCCTCCTTTCAAATGTTATGCTACTACAGCCACGGATTTGGTGAACACTTGGGGAGCAGATGCTTACCCAAATGAGAAAACAGCATACAAAGTCTCAAAATCCCCTGGGCAAAAACTACAGAGCCTTTGATGCTGTGCTGCAATTGGCATTGGCACACAAATGCCCTACTGATTCAGTACAAGATAGTCTTCAGGACTCCCCCTGGGGTCCCACAGTGCAGCCCCAATAGACTCAAAGTACTGGAGTAATAGTACCAGCATGTTAGTGTAGCCATTACAAGTCCACCACGGAACACTTATTTCTAAACAAAGCTCTTAGGTAGAAGGAAATAAATAGATGATACTTAAAAGATCATTTCAAAAGAATCTGGAAAACAGCAAGCCCGAAACAGTACATGTTTCATCACAGTTAAGTTCTCTATTTATTCAGCCAATAAAAACACAGTGAAACAACCTAGGAGTAGGGGAAATGTATATGAGAAAGTACTTCGAGTTTGTCCTTTTATGGGTTCTAAGATTAGCAGTAATAGGTTTCAAGCAGTGGGGGGAAAATGGACTTTTTGTGGGACATTCAGAAACTGAAATGCAGAATGAGTTACAGAAAGTTTGCTATATTTCTCTGACCGAGAAAAAAAAAGACAAATGTTATATTTTCTTAATGGCTTAATGTATAGTAATCAGTCCTTGGAAAGTGGTTAGTCTTAAATGTGCTAATGCTTTCCTATCAGAGAATACATTTAGCACTTGGTACTGTTACAGTTAAGAAGAAAAGCATGGAATTCTACTTAGGAAAAATCAGCCAATAAAGCCCTGTAAGTCACAACAGTTTGGTCCTATTGTATGTATATGCAATACAGGTCAACAAAAAAGCAACAAACAGCGATTAGATTACCCTTTAAAGTTTACTGTTAATTTATACTGATATTGAGACAAGAACTATTTCACAGCACAATTAAATTTAGAAAGTGTCCACATTTTATTAGAGTAGGAGTCAATAGTCTAAAGGCCGTTTACTGAACCTGCCTCAAAATGACCTATAGATCACAGAAGTAGCACACATGAACAACTTCTCTTGAAGGCTAACTTTATTGTTTCATGGGGATTTCTTCCATAAAGTTTCTGGTTCACAGATTCTACATTTGCTAAGCCCCAGGCCCTGCCCCAGTAGTGCAGGGAAAATAATGACCTACTTCATTATAACAAAGGATCTTTAAAGCTTATTCCTTTAACAGAAGCATATACTAGAACCCTGAAATCTGAAAGGATGACTTAAAGGATGGGCACTATCAGTGCTGTAATTAGTACAGAATCTAGCTCCCCAGTGTTCACTCAACAGGTTGAAGAATCTGCCACCCATGGGCAAAGCTGGTACTACAGCTACTGTTTCCTACCTAGATTTGTTTTCCTTCTATTAGAAGGAAAGGTTATAAAGAGAAAAAATGTTGCCCTGAGCTAGGACGAACAACTTATGCCACAATATAATCCACTCTCATGGTTTACAGGTCAAATTAACCATAAATGTCCACCGAACCTAATTTTATAGAAGAGCCTATTCCTTCCACTTGGCACTTAAGTATTTCCTTCCTTTCTGCACTGTCACTCTATCAGCTTGTTGCTTCTCATAGAGAGTTTGCTTTGTTCAAGTAGTTACTGAGGGAAGATGTCCAACTCCAAATACTGAGAAGCAAATGACATGCCCTGGACATGTTCCCTATGGAGTCATGCAGTCAGTCAACAGGAATTAAAGCAAAAGAGTAATGGTGGTGCAATTTCCTCCCATTCAGGAATTCCCTTTGGAGCATCCCAGACTAATGCTCAACCACTACATGACTACTTCCAGCAACAGGGAGCTCAGTGCTTTTTTGAGACATTTTCTCTTTTAGATGAATAGCTGAACTGTTGCTACTGTTCCTAATCCAGATGATGAAAGACTTAGACCAGTGCATTGTGCATTGAGGAGATCTGTTTTTGTTAACTCTGTCCCACTCTCTGCATCATTCATTTAATGACCTAAATTTAATTGTCGTCACCTATTTTTGTCATCTTTAGCATTTTTTTTAAAAAACTTCCTTTTAAAAAAAAGTTTTTGGAAGCTAACATTTTAGGTTAAGTCTACAGTATTTCTCTTTTGTAGAAGGGCAAAAATCTTCTGTTAAAGAACCTAGAAAACCATGACAAAAAGAACAAAATTCTCCACACTGAAAAAGGAAACACATTTCCAAAAAACAGTTTAAAAGACTTCAGCCAAAACTGATCTTAGAAACTATTCTGTTAACTTAGAAGTAGCATATCAGCTGAAATCAATCCAGAGTTTGCACACAATAGATGCTGTTATTCCTAAACCACATCTTTAAACACATGACAAGTTTTAAATAAAAAAGAACATATTAAGTGTCATTGTTGCTGTTACGTGCCATCCAGTTGCCTGCAACTCATAGCAACCCTATGTACAACAGCTTTGAACCCTGCTCTATCCTGAGCCAACTTTATTGTCTCTGGAAGATCTACCCCCATGACCCCAGTCACTTAGTCAATCCCTCTCATCGAAGGTTTTCCTCTCTTGTACTGTAGAAAATAGCAAAGACTATGAATTGTAGGCCAAAATCATGGACTTAGCTTTTTGTTCCACAGTTCTCCAACACAGAGATTCTTAAAATGTGATCCCAGTACTAAGAAATCAGCATCACTTGGATTAAAAGAAATTAAAATTCCCGGACGCAACCAGATGAGGCAAGGGGTAGAATCCAGTAGTCTACATTTTAGCATCTCCTTCTGGCAATACTGATGCATGTGAGCATTTGAGAACCTTTCTGTAGCACTAAATAGCAGCTAGCCCTTCTTCCAAACAAAGTCTTGACAGAATCAATCAGTAGTTGTAGTTGGTAGGCTGCTAATAGTTGTCTGCTAACCTGAAGGTCAGCAGTTCAAACCCATCAGCTGCTCCAAGTGAGAAAGGTACACAGAAAGAGTTAACAGCCTCTGAGGCCTAACAGACATTTGCTTTGAGTTGGACTCCACCCAACGGCAATGGGAGTTTTGTTTTGGTTAGTTGTGAGCGTTTGTGACTGCTTAAACCAATACTGAAAACATTCTGTTCCTGCTTATCCCTATATCCCCCTACCCTGGGAAACTTGTCCAATTTCAATCTGCAAGATTTGTCAGAATTTAGTTAAATATTGATGAAAGTAAACGTTTATTTTGTTTCTTTGAAGATAATGGAAGTGCTTTCTGCTGTTTCAGTGCACTGTGAGGCCAGTGAATGGAGTCCTTGGAGTCCATGCACGAAGAAAGGAAAAACATGTGGCTTCAAAAGAGGGACTGAGACACGAGTCCGAGAAATAGTACAGCATCCTTCAACAAAGGGTAACCTGTGTCCACCCACTAGTGAGACAAGAAAGTGTACAGTGCAAAGAAAGAAGTGTCCAAAAGGAGAGCGAGGTACACCCCTCAAATGTGCTTGCTTGAATCCTCATTTGTTGCATAATTTCACTTTATTTCTTGGGAAACATTTAGCATTATCACTTGTGTCTCAGATCCCAAAATGTATACCAAACAGAATATAGGAGCTCTAAATCAAAGAATATGGAACTTGTAAGACTACAGCTAGCTCTCGGAACTTAAAAGTACTCCAAAAGAAGTTTAAATGAATTCTAACAAGCCAAACTGTATAATAGACATTTGAGCCATTAAATTTCTTAACATCTACCTTCTTAGTGCTTAAAAAATATGAAAAAAGCCCCCAATATACAAGACCAAATGCTGTTTGGTAAAAATCCAGGGTGAAAGACAACAGGTATCTATTTACTCCTTTCCTTCTTATTTATAAATCAAAACAAGGCAATTGGATTATAAACATATTTAGCTAAACATATTTTACAGATTATATATGATTTAAAATACATAAATGCACATTTTTTTAGTTTAATGGCACTATTTATTTATTTATTATTTTAATGAAAGTTTACAGAGACTTTGGATTTTCATTCATTCATTTTGCACATTTCCCTCGGTCCTCACAATTGAAATAAATGTCAAAGGACATATTTTTATGAATATAGTACAACTATTAATGTGATTCTACCTTAAAATTTTTTAATTATAAAAATTATTTTAAAATAAACAAAAGTGCTACAGTTTATATTTACATACTACATTTACAGTATTTGGGGTAGATATTAAATAAGTCTTCTCTGTTAAAATCTGTTTCTAAAGTCTTAAGTATACCAAAGAAAAATATATCATTTAATGTGATACGTAAAGACAATTAAATTTACATTTAGGAAAACCACAGTAACTGACATTAAAATACTATTTTTGTGTCTTTCACATTACTGACCTTAGCATACCACTTCCAAATATAGTTGTTATCTGGTGAAGCTATAAATTACACTCTCAATTAATCATTGTTATCAAGAAGCTTGGTTGCCATTGTTGTTGAATTTCATTATTTCATTTATTCAACATAGATTTATTGAGTTCATCTTTTATGTCATACACAGTGCTAATCTTTGAGAATTCAGAATTGAATATGTTAGTATCACTACAATGAAGGTACCTTCAATGTCTAGTGAAGGGATTGAGATATTTAAACAAGTCATTGTAATATGTTATTCAAATCCACCAGTTTATCCTAAGAAGTAAGATGGGCAATTTCCTCCTGTAAAGAATTACAGCCTTGGAATCCCAGGGGAGGGTTGCCATGAGCCAGAACTCATGCAAGTGAGTTTGAGTTTTCTGATGCTTGGTTTTTTGTTTTTTTTTAATTTAAAAGAAACAAAACGACCCACTACATTTTATGAGTGGAGATTATAAACAAGGGAAGAAAATTCAAAGGGCACACCAAGGGGTATACTGTCTAAACTTGAACACTGCTCATACAAGAAAGAAGTTGGTTCACTTTGCAATGTGTTCTTTCATGATAAAAAAAAAAAAGTCAATTTCCAGAATGTATACAGCCTGTTGTTGCCACTAATAACCAAGTATTTGATGAAATATTTGAAGGCAAGGGTCATTTTAAGAACTTCAAGCTTTTGTAAATTTGTAAGATGTTTTGATTAAGATTTAGTTTAAGGAATGAAAGTTGGCTAGTGAAAAAGGTCTTTCTGGCATTTGTTAACAATTAATTTAAAACATCTTAGAATTTAAAAGTTGGATTTGAAATCAAATATTTCATCACTCTGCTTGTTGGTATGTTCCCATAGTCGTACATTTACTTATGTTTACTAATTTTTCTTGAAATTTAATGACTTACAGGTGGTCTTTGCTCACTTAATACTTTCTGCAAATATTCTAAATTACTAATCAGTATTCAGCACGTTTTGCTTTTAAATGCAAACAAGTTTCCCCACAAGAAAACTTAAATTATAATACCAACTATGAAATAGTTCTTTTATTTGAAAAAGCAATCTTTTAATATTTTTGCTAGCATTTGACTTAAACATTATTAACACTGAATATGTTTGCCCTGAAAACTAGTAAGTACTAAGATAAGTAATGTTGGAAGTTTAAATACTTATCTTCTTACTTGTTGACACAGTTTGGTACCAAGATGCAATAATCAACTTGGGAGGAAAATTGAGGATGACTACAAAGATCAAAAAATGAAGGATGACTACATCATTATACAACTGACAAATTACATCATTGCATAACTGAGAAATCATTGCAAATCTTGGTCCAGCCAACTTGATACATGACCTTAACCATCCTTTGCCAAGGATACTTTCACTTTGAACTTTGGCATTAATTGCTACCAGATGAACATTGTTAATGCACAAAATAGTCAATAGTAGATTTTTTACTATTGTAAATGTTAAATGTCAGATAACAAATTAGCCAGTAAGTGAGAAGCAGTTCTAGTAAACTGTGATGTAAGCCTCTGGTTAAAAGTTTCTTCCTGATGTTTCCCCTCCCCCTCCCATAGAATGCAGCAGCATGTTACATTTACAAACGGAACTTCATACACCTAGAAAACTTGAATTGTACATTCTTTTCCAAATTTGTCACTCATAGAGTGTAAAATAAATAGCATAAATAAACAGAAATAGTATAAATAAATTCCAGATTTAACTCCACTCTATTTTAACTTCTCTCATTATACAGAAAAAAATTTTCTCAAGTTGCCTAAAAAACATAAGTTGGATAAAAGTACTTTTGCCTTAATTCTTTACTTCTTTAACTTAGAATATTTCTTAACTTCCCCCCCTTACTCCTTCACTTAACTTTTCTTAATAGCAACTTATTGGACCTTCTATTGAAACACTAAGAAACCAGACAGAATTATGACCTCTGGACATACCACTGTTCAAAATATATTTTCATAACACTGGCATTATCCTAAGTTCTCTCATTTTTATCTAGAATACTTTTAAAATTAACATTTTAAAGAATTTTTCGTCTAAGTGGCAAGACGTATATGATCCAGACCAAAAGTAGAAGACTTTAGCTTACCTTATGTTATTCTACATAGATTATTATTGGAAATAATAACATTCTGTGGCTCTCAATGCTACCTACCACTAGAATTCTGTTAGTTGAATCATTGATAGACTTATAGATTCATAAAATAAGCTTATTAATTTAAGTGTATGCCTCAAACATTATTTCTAACGTGAATGAACTTCTTGTTGTTGTTGTTATGTGCCATTGAGTCATTTGTGACTCATAGTGACCCTATGTACAAGAGCTCTAAACTCTGTTCTGTCCTGTACCAACCTCGCTGTCTCAAAAACACAGTCATTCCCACCACTCCAGTCACAGAATCGATCCATCTCATCAAGGGTCTTCCTCTCCTTCACAGTCCCTCCACTCTCCCAAACATGATGTCCCTCTCCAAGGACCAGTCCCTCCTTGCAACATTAGAGGGGCTTTTTTATATATATAATTTAGCTTCAAAATTATGAATTTAAATTTATGTCTATGTTCTCGACCTAAAAGTTTAACAATAGACAGAGATAGATAACTCATAGTTGGAAGGGGTATGAAACATATGTTCAGAATATTGTCTGCTGTGTTGTAATTGCCAAAGACAAAGTCTCCAGAGGAGAATGATAAGATCCAGAAATTTATTTCTAAGCCATACACAAAGAAGAAACTAAATGGAAATAGATTTTAGTCTCAAAAGGAATTACTTTAGTAATAAGATACTTTTAAAGATATGTATCTTAAAAAAATATTGTTATATGCCATCAAGTTGACAACAATTCATAGTGATTATATTAACAACTTCTTACCCATTGATATAGAGTCAAAACGGATTTATAGCTGAACAAAGCAGCTTGGAAAAATAGGTTGTAAACTTTTTTGCATACACATTTTCCTTTCCTTGTTCTTGTGATACTTAAAATGATGTTGCTGTTGTTGTTGGTGTTGGTGGTGGTGTTGTTGTTATGTACTATCAAGCTGGAACAGACCCACACACAGTTGACCCTCTAATGGGTTTCCAGAGGTAGAAACTCATGTGGGAGGAGATTGCCAATCTTTCTCCCACAGAGAAGCTCATGGAGTTTAACTGCGCACTTTTGGGTTGGCATCACAGCTCCTTACCACTAGGCCACCAGAGTGATGGAAAGAGTTATGCTGTTATTGTTGTGTACCACAGAGTCTGGAACTGACCCATAGCTGACTCTGTGCCCAGTTTTCAGAGGTAGTTAAACATTTGAGAAGAGACTGCCCATCTGGTGGCCTCTAAACATGTGCCTTTGGGATTGCAGCGCATAGTATTGCTCAATCAGGATTCAGAGTTCTAGTGGCTTTAATCCACTAAAGGCTTCTCAGAGAGCATAATGGTGGCATAGTAGCAAGAAATTGTGCTTCTCACCCAAAAGCATGCAGTTCAAAACGACTAATGCTGAGAGGAAGAGAGATGGCCAATCTCCTCCTGTAAAATGTACTGCCTCTGCCTGTTGGAGGGTCAACTATTCATCAGTTCTGACTTTAACTACATAACCACGACAACAACAGTGGCTCTGCAGGAGAAAGATGGGCAATTTACAATCTCAGAAACCTGCTGGCGGTTTGCTCTGGGTTGACAGCACTGAGTTTGAGTTTTGAAAGCAATGTGAATACAAAAATAATCTTTGTAGCTTAAAATTAATATTTTTATCTGATACACAATTTGTACCATTTAAGACTGCTCTTAAGTCAAAACTGATTCATAACTGACCTTCCATTGGGAGGAGATTACCCATCTTTCTCCTGAAGAGTTGCTGATGGATTCAAACTGCCAGAGAGATGTGGCTTTTGAGTAAACTGCACAATTCCTTATGGGCTATGCCCACAGGGTGCCTGTTAATAAAAAGCCAGTGACTAGGGATGATAAAAAGTGAGTTGATGCCTTTAAGCTATGGTGCTAGAGAAGAGTGTGGAATATACCATGGACTGCTAGGAGAACAAACAGGTTTGTCCTAGAGAGGGTGAAACCTGCCTTCTCCTTGGAG